GGCTCTAGTCGAGGGAGAACATGGGAGAGTGCCATCTGGGAAGTGGGTGTATAGTTGAATAAGAGGGTTTGTGATGTCCTCTGTGATATACACACACACACACACACACAAATCAACAATTATTTAAATGCATTATATTTGAAGAGGAAGCATAAAAATTTATGTCATGTTAATTAGCAGAGGTGGTAAACATTACCGTTGAAATCTACCGGATGACTTTATAGACATATACAGGTGCCAAGGATCCAAGTGCAACCGACTATGACTGGGAATAATCAGATACATACAGATTAGAGATGCGTGCACCAACATCTCAGTGTTAGTAGCAAAAACAATGAGTCTTCCTGTAAGGAACAATATATTCTAAAATGAGATGGAGATATTTTTTAAAGGTTAAAAACTCATTCAATTTTATGTCACACAGGGCTTATACTGAGTTCAATATTGTATAACTGTATTAATTCAACTGTGAACCTAGAAACTTGCACTCACTTGTGAAAGAGATGTACTCTTGCTCTGGAGTGTGTCACTGAATATGTTAAAGCTGTAGTGAAATGCTTCTTTTAATCATGTAGCTATTAAAAATTAAAAAATAAAATAAAATAAAAATCTAAAAAAGAAAAAGAAGGTGGTGAGAGAAAACACCCACTGTCCTCCTTAACATGCACATACATAGTCACGGGCACCCACCCACACTCCTGTACTGACCCCTTCCCCAAAGTGTGCACAAGCCTGTACACACACACACACACACACACACACACATACACACACACACACACACACACACACACATACACACAGAATTGCTCAGAGCTAGCTGGGTATCTGCAGACTAGATTCAGTTCCTCATTCTGCCACCACATGGATGGTGACTTTAGAGAAGTCACTTCTGCCTTTCCCCTTCTGTAAAGCAGGGTCTGCTGTGTTAACTTCCAACCTTAGCATGAGGCATGGCCCAGGACTCTCAGCCTGGTTATAGCAATGTGCTTAACTCAAAGCTATGGCTGTGATATTTTGCTTCGTCAAAGTAAGAATATTTTGTTACGCCATGCATATTTTCCCCTTTATTGAATGTGTGAACACTTCCTCTTGGTGACTTGTTTCCTTGTGTGACCTGTGGTTTGAGTCTTGAGCTCCTTTCCATCAAAGTGGTTCGTGGTAAGGCTGGTTGGCCCAGCTGGGGGTTTTAGCTTTACCTCTTACTGAAAACAACACACCCACCGTTTGTGCTAATTCTTAGTGTAGGTCAGTGGGTACAAAGAGTCACATCTGGGTGGACACAGGTCTTCTTCACTCCATGGACAGTTCCAGAAGCCCTGGAACAGTGAACACAAGGCCTATACCCTGTCTACAACCCTAATGCCCCAGGTTCTGGCCTGGCTCAGAAAGCCCCTCAAGAGGTCTCTCCCTGCCCTTTCTCGTGTGTCAACCCATAAAAGTATAATCAGGATTTCAGTGAGATCAAACCCAGGGGGTGAGCTTTGCTGACACTGGGTATTTCTCACGGCGGGCCCTGCTGTACTCCCGTGGTCCACGCAGGGCCTCCATGCTTTTCCTTTCATGGTCTCAGAGCCAGCAGCCTAGCTCCCCCTCCCTGAGACTCCAGGGGTGGCAGTTGGAATTGGAGGCACACCTTGTGAGATGCTCATCCCTCGAAGGTTATGTGGTATGTGTGTGTGTGTGTGTGTGTGTGTGTGTGTGTGTGGTTGCCTGTGTGTTTCCATCCCTCTCCCCTTTTTTGTAGGATTGGGACTTCTCTGTGGTTTTGTACTTGGTCAAAAGTGCTCGTTCTAGTCTCGCACTGCTGTGTGCATGAGAGGTCTGGAGAAGCCAGCGTGGCTCAAGAAGTGACCACTGCTCCCTTTGCTTGTTGGTGGTCACTTGGTTCTGAGTTGGGGTTTGTGGGAGGGGGCTGCTGACTGTCCAGATGTAAGGTGTTTTGTGTGTCACTGCTGTGCTTTGAAGTTCTTGGTGTTGCTCTATGAGAGGACATCGCCCCCTGGTGCTCATGAGGTGTATGTGCAGAACAATAAATTGCAAATGAACAACCACAAATTGTCATCACTCTTGACCTTCTGCTTTTGTAGATGGGTGCACCTACCTGACTACCATCTGGGTTACTTCCTCTAGTCTGTAAGCAACCTCAAACCATTCCACTAGATAAGGGGAAACTATTCTTTATTTATTGAAAATTTCCACATTTTTTTTCTACCCATGTTTGACATGGCTTTATTCTGTTCCCCGAAAGAGACAGACCACACAGCAAGGGAAATGGGTATGAGAACTTGTGAAAGTTAGGCCATCTTTAAAACTATGAATGCTAACTTTTTAAAGGTCCCTTCACTTGGCTACAATGTAGGGTATATTTTAATCATTTTCCAACAGTCTTTTTTTTTTCCAAATAAATGTTTATTATTGACCATCCCAACAATGATGAGACCACAAGAAGGACTACAGAGCCTCCTTTGTCACAAAACTCTGTCTCCATCTCTGATATTTTACAGGGTGTGGTTTTATCAGAAGTCAGCTTTGTTCTTTCCACAGATCCCAGCCTTAGGAAGTCAGAATCCAGGAGAGTCAAGGAGTCCTACCAAGGGATCAGGATCTGACTTTGCAAAATGATTTGAGTGTGAACTGAAAACCCCACATTCTGATTTCATACAGATGAACACCGGGACTGAATACTGCTGGACACACATTTTAATAAATATTCATGTGCATTTTTGTTAGTAGAAATATATTAGTGAAATACTTTCATTTCATGTGCTATAAGTCCAGTAAAGGTCTGTGATTCTTTGGTTGTGCTTTGCTTTTCTGACTCACAGAGAGGCAACAGTAGGAAACAAGTAATTAACTTGGCTTTATAAAACATACAGAATCCATAGAGCACCCAGAGGTGAAGGCGAACACTTTAATGCTGAAGAAGCAGGTTTGACAAAAAGGTTATAGAATCAGTCTCCTGGGCTTGGCAGTGGGAAGGACAGAGTTCAAATCCTGCTATTCGCTACTGTGTGTCTCAGCTGAGAATGAAAGAGTGATTCTCCTTCCCATGTTCCCAGAACCCAAGACACTTGGTGCTCTTTGGAATGACCTACTGTGTGTACAAGCCCTTGATTAAGTACCAACAAGAAGAGAACACATTATTCTTCAAAGAAGATGACCCACTGGTGACGTGCTGTGGGGAGAGATATGTGATTTCTAAAATAGCTGTAAAGGAATTTTGATGTTGATAACTTTACTATTAAACCAGACATTAAAGTTGAACAAAACTCCAACTATTACCAGGTATCAACTATTGCCGTGTATCCTGCCAGATGCCTAATGGAAATCATCCTGGAACAGAAATAAGTTCCAGAAGCAGTTCTGGATGCCTTTCTCAGCATGTAAGGGCATTGATTTCATCACATAATTGTCTTTCTACCAATGAAAACAAACAAAAACTAAAGGCAGAGAAGATGGTACATTCTGCAGGTTTTTTTGTAGGTAGGAAGTAATCCTTAAATGTGGCCTTATTTTGACTTCCTCCACTTTTCACCCCTAGGAAAATAAAGCATTCTTGTGGACTGTGGGGTATGTGTATGTACATGTATCTGTTCCCATACTCATGAGGGAAAGACATGAAGGCTAAGGGCCATGGAAGAGAAAAGAGTTATATTTTGGTACCACAGACCATGAAACCATAATGTTTGATCTACCCAGGGTATATTCCCTTTTAGTTCCCATTTATAACAAACTCAGAAGAAGAAGTCAGTTCCTGGAGCATCAGAGATCTCTTCAACTTTTATATTTCTTCATTTCTATTTTCCCACTGTCCTTTTGTCCTTGCCTTCTGAGAGGTTTATTTTCTGAGGACTTGTTAACACTACTCAGAAATCCAAAAGTGGTAAAGTAAATCCAATGGGCAAAGTAAACCCCAGTTGCAGGGCAGTTGTAAAAAGTAAAATTTGTATAAGCCTCAGCTATCTTTTCAGATGTCTGTAAGATGACTCAGGGACATGACCAGTTCTAAAACACAGCCCTGGAGGCTCAAAAGCAGTGACTAAGCAGGACTTCCTGTGTCTTTCCAGAGTCCTGTCTGCTTCTAGGAACATAAACCCAGTCAGCTTCTTAAAAAGAAAAATGTAGACAGGACGCTTAAGGCAAATACTCTTCTAGTTCACAAATTCAAAACCTTAACTGGCTTCAGACTAACTGCACATATTCTAATCCAAAGCTCTAGATGCCCACCCCCTCTCTTTTCACATCCAGTCATTCAGGTGAAGACAACCCATGGGATTTTTGGGAATGGTTGCCCCTTACTATGCTGTAGAACCAGGGCGAGCTTTTGCTTAATTCTTCCTCTTGCCCACCTTGTTCATATAGTTCCTTCAAGTCTGGATGCAGAGACTTAAAAATAATCACAAATTTACAATACCTATATTTTTTGTTGTTGTTGTAACTGTCACTTCAGTTCTTTGGAAGGCAGAGTGGAGAAGGAGAGAAATATGTGGTATATGCTGTGATTGGAGACGACAGATACTCTTTCCCTTGGGGAGAATTAAGATGGACTTGGATCCTGTATTCCGTCAAGGATGGCTCCAGGTCTTGTGAAATAAGGAGGAAAAGCCAGAACTCCCTTATGTCCCTGATTTCCCTGACTTCCCTGAATTCCTTGGTATTCCTTCTTCTTATACTTCTGGTGGCCATAAATGGCCAACACAATGATAAGCCCCAGTGCCAGGAGAGCCCCAAGTGTGATTCCAATGACTGATCCTGCTGATAGACCACTGCTCTGCTCTGATGGCTCTCCCAGCCTCCACTGGTAGGTTATGGGGTCCTTAATCCAGGATCTTGCCATCCCACCACTGGCCACTATGGCAGCCTCACTCATGAGGGGTAGATAGGTGTAAGGTGGGAGCCTAACAGGGTGCAGGGATCCTTTTGTAAAGATTCCAGCCTTCACACAGTAGGATACTTGGCATCCATCGCTGATGAGGGCTAGCTGTTGGCTGAAGCCCCCAGGACACTTTTTCACAGATAGTACCCCTATGTCTTTGGGCATAGCAGAATCAGCCAAGGGGTTCCCCATTTTGCAGCTGAAGAACCCACCAAAGGGGACTGAAAATTTGTACCCCAACTCATGATCTAGAGAAACGCATACCTTTAGGCCATTGAACAGGCTCAGTGGAATGTAGCTCGTTGGGCATGACTGTTGGTTGGTCATGGGGTTGACGCTCTCACGGCTGTAGAGTCCCCCAAAGAGAAGTCCTGAGGTTGTAGTGACTTTGTCACTGGCTGAGCACCAGTAAGCCCTAAATTCAGCCTTTGCCACTTGGAACACATCTTCACACACTGTCTTACAGAAGATTTTGAGGGTACACTTCTTTTTACACTCCTTTTGCTTGAAACCCTCCTCATGGATCTGAGACAGCAGATGGACAGGGGAATAGCCAGAGGGGCAGGAGAAAGCACCAGTGAGTGGGTTCTTCTGCTCCAAGTTTGGACAGAGGGGAAATTTATCCCCTGAATGCTGTGTGCATTCCTGATAAACCCCTCCGAAGGGGAAGTTGTTTATTTTCCCATCGCAGGAGCCGTCATCTGTATTGGCTTGAAAATTGAAGTTGGGAGAGTCGGCATTGGTGCAGCCTGGGTAGGTGTTAAAGGTGTAGTAGCTTTTCACAGCAGCTTCCACTGTCTTAGACAGCCTCTCCACCAAGTGGCCTGGAAAGCCAGGCAGCTTGTCAGGCTTGACGAAGAAATGCAGGGGCAAGCCCACACGGTCTACTGCCACCAGATGGTTGGTGATGCCCTTCTGCCAGGCCTCAAAGGTGATGCCTGGGTAGAATGGAACCCCTCCAATGCTCTGCACCCTGGAGTTGGTTCGACTAGCAAGGTAGCTCTTTGTCAAAGTATTCTGGGAGTTGTAGTCCATATCAATATTTATGTTCACAACTTTTGAGAAGGTCATTCCTGCAGATGCAGTCACTGTAGTGCGGTTGCCCTTATTGTCCTTAAAGAAGGAGGACTTTACGTGATCCTCCTGCACCAACACGGCCCCCGCGTCCATGCTGGTGATGACATGTGTGCCATAGTTGAGGACCAAGAGCTCTGCCAGGTAGGTGGCCATCTTTGTCTGGTTTTTCTCTAGGTGGTCACAGATGTCTAGGAGCGCCTTCTTAAACCCCAAGCTGAGTTCTGAGCTTGGATTCGATTTGACTGTGTAGACCAGGTTTCTCACCTGAACTCTTGTTGTTACAGCGTGGTCCCTTACTTGAAGGGTCTTCATCCTTTGGAACTCGGTTGAGAACTTGCCATTGACTTTGTGGTGAACATTGAGATCCATGTTGATGGATACTGAGGTGGTGCTCTGGTAATTCACCCAGGAGTCCAGGATTTCTGAGTTCATATCCAGGTTGCTCTCCTTCTGGGCAATGGTGAAGACTTCATCAGGGATGATGTACTGTCCATCCTCTGTGGTCACACAGTGTGTATATGTCAGTTCCGTGACCCGTCCCATGTCTATATTCCGTAGATTATCCCAGCCACCTCCAGGCAGCACTTCAGACAGGTAGAGATTCAAGGCATCCTTGCACTTTTGAAATCCAGCCTCACTCTTCTCTCCCAGAAGCTTGTCTCTTTCAGCAAATGCTACCACAGTCCAGAGGAGGACTGCAGCCTGGAAGCTGTTCATGCTGCAGATAGTCCTAGTCACACGCCAGCCCTAAGCTTCCACCAGCGACCCTGAGGCAAACAGAAAAATGGGAAAGTAAGCAGTTGCTGAAACAGAAATGTCTACATTTGTCTTACAACCACCAGTTGCTGTTCAGGCTTCTCTAACTGAAAAACAGACAAGTGAGAGTTAGTTGGAACATTTAAGACCATTAGGACATTCAAAAAATCATGCTTTACCAGATATAGGAAACTACACTCTTGACAGTTCTCCCCCGTTTTCTTCACCCTATTTACTCTGCAGCAGTGATGATGCCACAGAAAAAGCAGACCCCACCTTTCCTGTTCTCCTCAAGAGTCTGGTCTGGCTTTTTGTTCACTCTCTTGTTCTCATTTCAAAGCTTGGCTCAGGGTTCTCTTATCTTGTGGGTCTCCAGTACCGGATTCTTTTCTCTGACACTGAAGATGTTTGGTGCAATCTCAGCCCCTCTTCATATACCTCTGCCTCCACAGACACAGGAGAGCTCTACCTCAACGACAAACCGTAGACTTCTCATTGGCTCACTGAAGTTGGAGACCATCTCCTTAGAAGGAAAGGGGGAGAACCACTCATTCATGTTTTGTGAGGTCTCATTGTCGTCACAGGCCCTTGTGATCCTGGTCTTGAGATAGCTTTATCTGGTGTTGAGCTTAAGGGTGAAGACAGTTATTTGCAATACACTAGGAAATCTCCGTGTCTTATCCTGAGTGTTACATGTGAGAGTGAGGGACCCTACACTGCTGGTGTTTCCTTTTAGACAAGTATATTTGAGAGAAACACAAAAGACATATCAGAATATAGATTTTGACTTATCAAAACATAAAGTGGCCAAGGAGTATACATTTATAAATTTTTTTTCCGTGTACAATTTACAACAAATATACCTGTTGTTATACCTTTAAATTTCCATTTCATTATTAAGTTCATATATTCAATATAAGTACATAAAATGGAATATAGCTCTTCATTACTCAAATATTAAGTTAAAATCATTTTATGTCTTTCTGACGACATAATTGAATTAAATTTTTTCTTTACCTTCCTCTCTCACTTACTTCTTTCCCTCCCTTGCCGCCCCCCCAGCTCTGTTAGGTCCGTAATTAAGAAAGACATTTTAGATTCATTGATCAAGGATCAGGATTAATGGAAGCTCAATGCTATTAGTTAGAGATAGTTATAATGTGCCTTTGTAACTTATCTAGTAGGCAAGCAGAGTAGTTAATAACATTTTGAATTATACCCTCATGGCTCTCAAAATTCTAGTGTGACCAACACACAGCCTTCTTCCAATTTACAGATTAACATTATATGTATGCATCCTTAAGTTTGCAAGAATTGCATTATCTTGGGTTATCAGTGATGCAGCTGAAAAGCATTTCTGAAGGAATCAGACGTGTTGTTGATTGTCACAGACTGAGTTTCACTGGTCATAAGTCAAATGCTAATGGAGTTCTTTAGATCCAGAAATCCCTCACTGAAGATCTATTAATGCCATAGTACCACACTTGGGGAAACACATTTACACCAACCTCTATAAGGGGTGTATGTGGAAGTGTCCAAGGCCATGTTTATCTGGAGAACCCAGCTGCTGCAGAGGATTCTGCTTAATTTATAACCGGACAGTAATATATTTATAACCCAGGAGAGAGTCCAGAATTTGAAAAAGGGTATTGAATGTCCTTGGATAGTTACAGTCATTGTATATTTGCACACGTCTCTTCAACTGTTTCAGGGATGGTTGCTCAGGAGTGGAAGATCCGCTTAGATGGTTTAAGAGATGTAGTAGAAATTCATCACTCCTTGTTTCATGAGATCCTGTTAAGACCTCACTCTCCCAAGAAGAAAATACAAGTAAGGTAAACATATTTTCTAAACCCAAGTGTTTCTAAACATCTAGATGCTTACTGCTCATCCTGTTTCTGCTTTGCTCCAGTCTTCTGCATCAGTTTTGCCATAGGAAAAGAAAATGAAGATAGCTATGAAGCCTGTAGGAGTGAAATTGCATGAGAAAATGTTTCACTGGCAGGAGGACAAGAGCAGATAAGAGGACATTGTGATCAAAATACATTACATGCATGTATGACAATGCCATGATGAAATATAATTATATATATTGCTTATGAATCACATTAATAAATGCATTAAAAAAGAAACTGACCAAAAATTTAATTAAAATAAAAATATTTTATACCAATATAATTATTTCTAAACATTTATTTATTTGTTTTAATAGGTTTTAGTATTTGTTTATTTTATGTGCATGAGCATTTTGACTGCACCTACATAAGTGAACCCATACAGTGCCTGTGGAGAACAGAAGAATGTGGTGTATCTATGAGCTGAGGTTAGAGGTGATTATCTGCTGTCCAGTGTGGGTGCTGGGAACTCATGTCCTCTAGAAGAGCAGTAAGTAATCATAACTGCTGAGTCCTCTCTCCAGACCCCGACATAATTCTTTCAAATAATTTTGATGAAATATGAAATAATCCTGAAATGCCTTCAGAATGACCTGGACATTTAGCATTACTGTTACTGGAGGTGTCTTCACCAACCAATAAAGCTGACAGCAACTGGATCTGGTCAGTAGGGTTTATCGAGTTTCTTTGATATTTAAATTTTTATTTTACTGTTTTTCTAATTTTTATTTTCTTTATTGAATTTTTTTGCCATTTTTACACAATATAGTTTAAAGGTGTTTAGATCCCCTCCCCTCTCTGCATCTCACTCCAAAGCCCCCACCTATGTGTAAAGGTTGTATTGAAGATATGTCACTTAGGGTTAAACATCTCACAAACACTTATTCTGTGCATTTGCTCAGTTCTGGCACTCTGTAATAGTTTTCTGTCCATTGCAAAAAGAAGTTTGTTTAATAAGCAGTGAAAGATACACTTTTCTAAATATGAGAATGCATATTTAGAATAAAGAAATTACATTGGTATAAAAATGTGGCAAAAGTAGTTTTTCTCTAGGATCTGTGACCTCTTCAGCCATGAGTAGTTGGCTATGTTTATAGCACCACACATGAGTTCCTTCCCGTTGCACCGGCCTCTGTTCCAATTAGACAGCTACTGACTACTCCCCAAGATATAAATGCCACTACTACATCAATAGATATAGTTTGCTGGGTCAGTCGTTGTTTTTAGGATTTGCAGCTGGATAAGACCACTGATTGGTTATCTCCTTTGGCAGCTTATATAGTATCCTCTGGTACCATGAGAGCTAGTCTTCAGAGAGGAGGTTCCAGGTCAGTTCCAGCTTGATTGATCCGAGTCCTGTGTCCAATGTGTGGCCTGTCTTAAGCAATAGAGTCTGACCTTCACATTCTGGGAGGCAATCAAGGACTGTAATAAAAGCCGGTGTTATTTGGGGAGTCTTTTGGACTAACCTGACTCCAAGAGAAGCTTCTCCTGCCCGGCACTATGTTTTTGTTATATAGTCTTCAGCTATACACATGTACTCCTATTCCTTGCATATGTATTTCTCAGTAGGATTTTGAACTAAAACATTCCCTCTGGTTTTTCATACCATCTAAGCATTATTTTCCTCTCCTCTCACTCCCCCTATATAACCCTCCCTACTCCCTCTCCAGTTAAAATGCTACCCTTTTCCCTATTTCCTCCTTAGTAACACCTGTCTCCTACTATCCCCCTCTCTCAAGCTCCTTTTTCCCTTTTATCACCATTGAGCCTTTCCATTTTCTTGGCCCCCCGCATTTATATCAGGATATATACTCACATCTAGGGATTTGGAGCTAAGATACACAAATGAGAGAGAATGTATGTGGTTTGTTTTACTGAGACTGTTTTACTTCACTTAGTGCAACAGTTTCCAGTTCCATTAATATATCTGCAAATTTCACGATTTCATTTTTTTTTTTTACCATTGGGTAGAATTCCATTGTATAAATGTATCACATTTTCATTATCCATTCATCAACTGAAGAACATTTACTTATTTACATTGCTTAGCTATTGTGAAAAGAGCAACAACAAACATGCCTGTATAAGTATCTCTATAGTAGGATGAGTCTTTTGGGTATATGCTAAAGAGTGGTCTAACCAGATCATTTGTTAGATTTATTTTTAGTTTTCTAAGATTTCTCCATACTTAGTTCCACAATAGTTGCACCATTTTGCAATCCCACCAGCATTGCATGAGGGCCTTCCTTTCCTTGCATCCACACCAGCATTTGGAGTCATTTATTCTCTTTTTTCTTAAATTTTTAAAAATTTTTATGTGTATGAGTATATTGCTTGCATATATGTAAGTGTACCCATGTCTTGCAGTATTTGCGGAAGTCAAGAGGGTGTCAGATCCCTTGGAACTGGAGTCACAAACACATATTAGCTGCCATATTGGTGCTAGGAATCAATGGATCCCAGGTCCTTTGTAAGACAAGCCAGTACTCCTAACCACTGAGCCATCTCTCTAGTCCTGTCAGTTATTCTCTTAATCTTAGTCATTCTGTCTGGGGTTAGATGAAATCTTAAAGTAGCTTTGATTTGTCATTGATCTGGGTTTCTTCTCTTTCTTCTATGCCCATGATGCATAAAGCTGGTTGTTTCATGGTGTCCCACATTTCCTGTATATTCCTTTCCTGTTTTTTTTTAAAAATTCATATTCTTCCTTGAGTGGTCCAATTCTTCAACTTTATTATCCAGTACTGATATTATATTTTCCATTTCATTCATTCTGTTGGTGAGTCCCGAGGACTGGAATTAAAGGAAGGCACTATCCCACCCAGCACTGTGTTAGTTTTTAATAATGAGCACTTATTATCCATTTAGTAAATGGGTATTACCGACTACCAACAGCAGTATATAGTAATCTACCCTCAGTGATCAAGAAATAAAAACATTTTTAAATGAAATTAGCCAGGGGTAGTGGCCAGGAGTAGTAGCATATCCCTTAATTCCAGAACTCAGGAAGCAGAGGTGGGTCTCTGTGAGTACTAGGCCAGCCTGGTCTATATAAGAAGTTCC